TATGCAAATGCAGAGCTCTCTAGGTGTGAAATAGGCATTGTGTTCAGGAGAAAGGTGATTCTTGTTTAATGTATATGTTTAAGACAAAATGTACAAGAAGTGCATGCTGACATCAGGATACAGTCAAAGCGAGGAACGAACTTTGCATCTGTGGGAGCTGAAAAGAAAGAAGGGGACTAGTTCAACATCTCTGTTTTCTAAGGGCTTTTCTAGTGGGCTGTTTTGGCTTGGTCGAAACCCGTTCTGGAGACGTACGTTCTAACTAAGGGAATTTTCTCAAAAGCCTTTTCTTGGTTATTCGTAGTTACTCATTTTATCCTACATTTACTTTTGGGAATTCATGAGCGAAAACACTTTGAATTATGAATCTGTAAGTCCAGTGCTTGCTGAAGTTGTTAGATAAAATGTTGACTGAAAGTTGCGGCACCATAGTACTATTTTTTTCCACGTTTCATGTCAGGAAATGCAGAAGTATCTTACAAGTTCTTAGTCTGACCTTATGTTGATAGCCTGTAAGAGAACCTGTGGCTGTGAGAGAAAGATTAAAGTATAGGTAGGTGGATGGAAATGTTTGTATGGCTTTTGGTGGAATGGGAGCAAAGCAGGTAGGTGATGGGATTCTGTGTGCTCACAGTGCAGAAACAGTCCATCGCGCCTCTTCAAAGAGGTACAACAAAACCCTGTCCTTCTTTTTGTTTGTGACCTGTCAGTGTGGTGCTGCTTTTATTGCTGCAAGGCATGAATGGCCATATGAAAGCAATACAGAGTGGTCAATGTGAAATTGTCACTCTTTGAGACGCATTTTTTTTCCAAAAGGAAGCTGAAGAGTAAATCCTTTAATGTATCCTGTATAAATGAGTCCTGGACAATGTTTAGAGCACAGAGCTCTCATATCATTGGAAGGATGCTCTGCAAGTGTATGGTTGATAGGAAACATAAGTTTTACCACCCAGTAGTACTCTTCATCTTATCACGTGGTTTTTTTCAGTCTGAATGTGTAGGTAGCCACTGGGGAAGCTATTTCCACTAGGGGGGGTCTTTATGATTCCTTAGCTCAAGTTGGTGTGTTGATGCCTGTAGCTATGGAAGGAACTACCAATCCTCAGTATTTCACTCAAAGTGGAAGCTATCATCTTCTAAAGAGATTGTGTGCTAAGCATTGGATAATAGATCTCAAATGTGTCATTACCATGGAAAAAGTGCTCTTTTGCCAACATGTTGATTACTAGTGCTTCACCAAAATTCAAGGTTCTTGTCTGTTCTTGATTCCTGAAGTGCTCATTAATTCTACCCTAGCAAATATATATATATATATATATATATATATATATATATATATATATAAAAAAACACAAGAAACTAAAACAAATATCTGTAGGAGCTGAAATGAGCCCTGCTGTATCAAATCTCATGCTTATGGAAGCAGATGGGAAAATTTTGAAGAACGTCTATTTTGCTTGCTTGTGTGCTTTTTGAAGTTTCTGTCACATGCACAGTGAAAATCAATTGGGAAAGTGAGAAACTTGGGGTTCAACTGCGTATCCTCAAAGTTAAATGGAAGTTAAGGCTTTTCAGCTTGCTTATATACATGGTGAGTTTATGGGAATAGCATCTCTGTCGGCATAACAGGCCAAGTTAATGGGTTTCTGCAGATCTTCTTTAACTCTCAGCAGTTTGTCTCACTATCTCTCCCACTCACAGAGGAGTCTGTGATGGTGGATTGGAACCCCTTGATGAGGAGTTCCAAGCATTAAGCTGAATTTTCTTGCATTATACCTTTAACCCATTTTTTTTTTTAAGTGGTTTCAAGCAGGAGTTTAAAAATTAGGCTAACCAGGTTGAGCTTATGAGTTGGTAGTGCTGGCTGTTCACTGGTGAAGGGGGCGTTTAGGGAGAGGACGCTGAATTGAAAGAGTACATAATTGAAGGAGCAGATGACAAAATAGGTGTTTTGCTTTGAATGCATTGGGGGAAAAGACTTTAGAGAAAAGCTGAAGGTTTCAGAAAGGCTCTCAAATACTTTCATTTTATACAGCTGATTACTTATCACGTAGTGCTCCAAAGCTCAGGCTTTTACTAGCTGACAAATATCCAAAGAAGTTTTCTGCTTGTTTTCTCTGCAAACCTCATGGCACTGACAAGAAATACATTGTCCGTATGGAGTGAAGAATGGCATTTAAGTATCGTGTGTTGAAATCCCACTCACTTTTACACATTATGCTTCAAAGCCCTGCTTCCTGGATACAAAAGTAGTTGTGTTTCCAGCAGAACGTTTACATAGTTTAGCATGAGGTAAAAGCACCGGGGTATGAAGCCAGCCATGTATATAAACCATTAAACAACTTCAGTGCAAAGCTGCACAAAACGTCTATTAAATCTAACAGTACTGCTAAAAATCCACATTTAAGCTTTCTTTGTTTCTAGCTTTGAAACATGGAGAAGTTGTTTATAAAATCCCCAGCAACAAACAATGAAACCTCACCTTTGCATGGTACTTTTAGTTTCATAGCAAAAATGAAACAGACTGATCCCATGCTCCCCAATTGGTCTTGCTGACTTTTAAGCTTTCTGCAGGGTAAATGTTCCCTTTATGAACCAGGCTGTAGCCAGTGCCCATGGAAGCCTCTCCTGAGGAGGTGTTATTTTAATATATGAAGGGCAGTAATTTCATTTCATAAAGATAGCTTGTTCCACAGAAGAAATAAACATCGCATTTGACAGATGCAGGGACGCTCAGAGATCTTCCTCTGTGGAGGCAGGGAGAGGCCCATAAAGCTTTCCTGTGTTCCCTGCATTATGGTGAGTGGAGCTTTAGATGTCTTCTCAGAAAACTGATTCTGTGGTGTAACTAATAGCCAGCTAATAATTTTATTTTTGTTTTTAAACACTCTGTGTGAATGCCACAGAATGCAAAGAGAGGCATGATATTATGTACAAGGGTGCTGACAGCAAATGGAGAAGGGTACCTTAAGTGAATGCATTGCCTTCTCTACATTCAGCATTATAGAACTTACTGGGAACTTGCATGGGCAAGGCGGAGGCACTGAAAACTAGCTTGTACATGATCTGTTTATGGGAATAATGAGAGAATATGGGCTGATAGGCTTCTGCAAAGCTCTTTTTATTCAGCAGTTTGTCTCACCATCTTCAACCAGGAGCCTGAGATGGGTTTGAAAAAACAATTGCTAGTACTAATGCTGTTGTTCTAAAGATGCTGTGCCCCAGGTTGTTGTGGATGACTTTCAAGATGGGTGTGGATCGGTGGCTCTGAGTTGATTCTTTTTGGATCGTATGTTTGTTTTGGGCTGATCATCTTTTTCTGATTCAGAATCTAAAGGCCATAAAGCTGGCTTAGCAATCAGAGGAAAAAAAGCTCAGGTGAAGGAACTGAGAAGCCTCCTGCCTTATCTATTAACCCAATGCTGTATTTATCCGGAAATTATGGGGAGCTGGCTGCTGAGCCAAGGAGAGCCTTGCCCAGAGTTATTCCGACCACATTTCTCAACGTCATGTTTGTTGTGCTTGGAAGGAGCTGGGATAGCTCTGTCGTCTCTCTCTCTCACTCCCTCTTACTGAGCATAGTAGCTATACTATATTCCTACCAGAGCCCTGCACTGCTTAATGGTGAACCAAAGTTGCTTCATTTTCCCCTCATTTGATGAATGACGTTTGGGATGAGGTGATGGTTAGAGGGAGCAATGAGAGGAAAATTCACCTTGAGCAAACCCAGGTTTCATTAATGATCAAAAGATGCTGTGCTGAGGACAAGTACTGCAGGAAGTCTCTTTGAAAAAGAGAAAAATACTGTCTGAGTGTTTACAATCTTACTGCTCAATACAAGCAAATTGTATTGCAGAAAAGAAAACTTGCAGAATGAGGCCTTCTGTCACCCAGCGTCACTGCTGCTTGAATGAATACAAAAGGGAGGCTGTGCTGAAATTCATAGTGCTTTCTAACTAAAGCTTATGGTATAGGAAAATGCCATTTAATTCCTAAAGCTCAGATATGGAGGAATTTATTTTTTGTGAACAATGAGTAAATGCTGTTGTAATAGAAGTTATAATTTCATCAGCAGCAACTGCTGTTATTGGCAGCGCTTTAGCATTTGGATAATAGTTTAGATATTTGGATAGTAGTGATAAAACAATTTATTTCATGAAACATCTTTTCATGAACTGTCATATGTTGTGCATAAACAGTAGTTTTTACCAGTAAAGACTGCCATAGAAAGCAGCATTGTTGATGTATCCAATGGAGTCAGGGAATTTGTTTTGGAAGTGCTGCTATTTTTACCCTCTTGAAGTAAATACCACAAAATTAGGTATATAAAGTTTCAATTAGACTTCTGTTTCCCTTTTTAAAAGCTTGCAGAAATGGCACCATTACTGCGTGCTTTTTCCTTGCAAATTTTTATTTCCTCTCTGGATTTTGCTTTTTCTATTTTGTTTATATTTTTATCTAAATTAGTTCAAGCTGTCAGCAATATGTATGTGTTTTTTGATATTTTTTTTCACAATTTTCCCCAAGAAAACAATGCTTATTTCATTGCTCTGTGTTTTTCGTATAGCTCTTGCATGTATTACAGCCCATGATTTATTTCAGTAACAGACAGACAATTCTATCGCAGAAGGGTTTTTCATGATGGAGGACTTTATTTTGAGTTTGGGAAAAATCTTGGGGGAAACCAACCAGTGTGATTTGGCACTTCCACCCTTTTTGCTTTTGTTCTCCTTGCATCAAATGATGGGCTTCTTACTCATAAGTTTCATTGGGACTTCTTGTGAGGTAAAGTACCATACAACACTAGCAACATTATGGCAATCTGTCCCTCCCTGTGCAACGAGTTATTAGAAGTCCACTCCTCTGGGGACTAAGAGAATTAGAGAATCTATTAAGTTACAGCTTTGAAATGTTTTTTTCCCTATTTTTGCTAATTGAACAGGGAGCTGCATTTTCTAGATTCATTCTCAAGTTGATGTGAAGGAAAGAAGGTGATGGATTGGCGTTGCTTTCCAGCGTTCTCCAGCCTGGGAAGTCCTTGGTGGGTTAGGGTATGCACAACCAAAGCTGCTCAACTCTCAGACATCGCAGCGTGTCTTCTGGATTAGCCATTTATAACCATGAAAAATAAGGGCAAGGTGAGCACAGAAGGTTCTCATTTTGAACTGATGGCATATTTTGACCACTCTGTTTATTTTGCTCCGACATAAATGACAACGCAAGATGTAGGGTGCAGTGAAGCAATGCTTGGGGATGTTGCCACTGATGTTAATGGTGTCAGTCTCTAATCTCTTTCCAGCAAAAGCAAGGTGATGCATCAGCAAAATGGCTGCTCACACTGGAAGAGACACCAGGGCCATTCACAACTGCTGAGACAGTGAAACAGTATTTTGAGGAGGGGAAAAAAAAAAAAGAAAAAAGCTCATTCCTTAATATATGGTCTTATAGGGTAAATATTTACCCAGCCATCTAAAGGCAGGAGTAATCGCTGCAGTTTTCCCTTCACTCAGAGGCTGGAGATTTTCTCTGACTGAAAAAAAAAAAAAAGTCCAATTTTGTGTATGTGAAGAAATCAAAGTGTTGCCCTTGAAATGGGTTTTTCAGCTGTCTCCTGGGAATTCTGGGGTTAGTTTTCACCACGTGAGGTTCTGAAGTGCATACTCGAAGGTTCAAACACAGGAAAATTGGCTATCACTGCCAACTCTGTTGGGTGGGGAGAAAGCTGTTTCAGTTCCTTTATAGGGAAAAAAAAAAAAAAGGAAAGATTTTCTTCTTCTTCTTCCAGCTCATTCTCATATAGTCCCCTGAAAGAAGTCTTGACTTTTATTATATCCTGTAATCAAATTTGAGCATCTTATTTGCTTCGTTTCTCCAAGACCACCCTGGAGGTAGCAGTCCACACACACACAATTTTGGTATGCATAAACCCATAAATTTCATAACAAAATATAGGAGCTGGAGCTGTAGGAGGAGTGTAAGGCAGAAGGTGCTGAAATGTAAAGTCTGTGCATGTTTAAAGGGATGTCATTTATTACATACTTCTGCCTTTAAAACAAAAAAAAAAAAAAAACTTACTGTTACCACACAGACTGTATAAATATATATTGCCTAATTCAAGATGGTGTGGTGTGAAGATTTTATTGGCATACAGTAGCTTAGCTAGAGTAGCAAAGGCCTGAGCAAGCTCTGTATTGCCTCCAGTGTGTGCCAGGAAAACATATCCTTGGCATGGGCAGCAAGAACATCCCCAGTGACGCTGCATAAGTGTAAATCTAATGAGGATAATAACCCATATGCTTCAGGGTATCAACCCATTACTAGCTGCCTGGGATTAGGAAGGAATTTCTCTTTCGGTTATGTTGCTCTGAAGTCATTTATGGTGGGGCTCTGCACATTTCTCTCTGACACCTCTGCCATGGGCTCCTGCAGGAAGAGGATGCTGGACTTGATGGACTTGCTGGAAGGGCCTGGTCTGGCAATTTGTGTGTTTTTTCTGAAAAAACATTAATTGTACCTATTTTATGTGGTTTGGAATATGTTTTGATGGGGCGCTTTGTGCACATCTCTCTGTAATGCCAGCTCCCATAAAGCTTCTTTCATAAATGCATAATTTAGTTTGGAAGGGAGCTCTGCAGATCTCCAGCCCTTCAGCCCTCTCTGAGCAGGGCTGACTTCACAGTCAGGTCAGGATGCTCAGGGCCTTGCTGAGTCCAGCTCTTTAAACCCCTAAGAATAAGAATGTTGCTTCTCTCTCCGCTTCCCCATGAGGACTTTCTGGCCACTTTAACAGGAATGGCTCCGGTGTTAATTAACACTATCTGTGTTAATGTGAACTGTAGACAGATAGGGCTTCTCTGATCACAGTTCTTCTGGTGTATTTTTTGTTTTTTTTTCCCTCTTATAATCAGTGGAGAGAAATGCATGCCTATTGGTGGAGTTTCTTTGCTGCAAAGATAAAATTTGATAGCCTCTCAAATCATTTCTAGCAATGTGTATTTCTCTAGTGACCCTTGGAGGAACACGGATGTTCTCATTGCAACCAATGTAGTTGGCAGAAGTAGGTGCCTGAAACTAGACTCAGTGTATATGTCCAAATATGAAGTTGTCCAAAATGAAGTAGATATTAACAGCTTGTTACAGTGATCTCTGATTATGTAGTGTTTTGTGCTGTCTAGGGAAAAAAGTACAAAATACCACCAGGAAGGTGGTTTCCTGGGTTTCTAATGTCATAAAACCAATATTCCTGTTTGGGTTTTGTTTTTTTTTTTGTCCAAGTATCAAGGCCTTGAAGGCAACAAACTTTAGATCTGACTTCAAATATAGTTACTGTTGTGCATTTAGAATCAGTGAAGATTTATTCTGTTGAAAAATGGTCTTGAATTTTGACAGTGTCAGCTGGTACTTGAATGTTGAAGTTTGGTGTGGGCGATCCTTATTTCAGCTGGTAGAAACAGACTACTGATGGTTCTTGGGGGTAGACGAAGATATCTCAGACAGCTGTGGTAAAGTACTTCTGTCTCTTAGGTGATGGGGATAAAGAACTGGAAGGAAATATTAGGAAACTCCATTGGATAGGAAAAAAAAAAAGAAGAAGAAATCCACCCTGAAGTGTTCTGAAAGATTCTGGCGAGAAATCATTGTCAGTTGCTAAAATTCCATGGAATTTTAGTGTTCACTGATGAAATCTGCTTTCCTGGAAATGAGCTTGGAGAATATCTGGTAATGGGGTTTGCCAAAGAGAAAACAAAGCCAGAGCTGAAAATACACGGGGAAGAAAGACCCCAATATTTTTGTATAGAATTATTTGGGTGCATTTCTCCATAAATGTTTATTTCTTTTTTTGCTTTGTGAACAGGGACCTAACAGTTACATGCTTTCAGTCATACGGTTTTCTATATTTCAACAAGTACCAGAAGAATTCTTGAAATTGAGTAAGATTTTCCTATTCCAGCCTAAATGTAATTAAAGGAAAAGGTCAAGGACAATGGAAAAGATCACTATTTATCCTCATCCACATGCTGTCTTATTTTCAGGATGCCAGTGGAATAAAGTGGAAATGAGTGGAAAGGTCTCACTGCAACTCAAAAAGGAATGTTCTCCTTGCTACCCATCTCCAGCTGCCACCACAGCTGGACAAAATTAGAGCAGTAAGAAAAATAATGTTTCAGTGATGATAAAGCTTGAAGTTATGTTGCATAAAATGTTCTCTATTTCAATTATAAAAGAGGATTTGGGGAAAAAAAAAAATCACAGATTAGTATGCTGCCCCAGGGATGTGCCAAGCTAGTGTGGGCAGTGTGCATTAAGTGCACAGAGCTGCTGCATTCCTTGCCCTGCACACAGACCTGGACACAGAGCAGTGTGTTCCTTGGGTGGGGTGAAGCTGCCTCAAAACTGGTAAAATTAAACATATTTTTGGTTGCTTTTGAGTGTGGAAAAAGGTCTGTTGCTTGAAAGAGGAGGGAAAAGGGTTGTTTGTTTTAGAAACCCTGAAAAGGAGGATGTTTCAGGGAAAGAAGAGAGTAATGGTTCAATTTGGATACGTTTGTATAAAATCCCCTTTGGAGCTGTTGCTTGGTTAACCTCGGTGGGCTGAGCTCCCAGCTGCAGAAACCTCTTCTCAGGCTCTCTGGCCAAAGAGCCTCATAAAGCAACCACCACCCTGGTGCTTTGGGAAAGGTTTGAATGGGGACTTTGGTCTGTGTGGACAAAGACAGCATAATGATTGCAGTGAGATTTTTCTTTCAGAAAGACTGCTTTTCTTCTCCAACTAACTGTATCAGGTTAACATTCTCTTCCTCTGTTTGATCCCTAGGGCGGTACAACTGTGTTTTTCCCCTTGTTTGGAAAGTCAGGAAATGCAGGCTTAAGGCAAATGGGCTCATGTTTGCTTCTAACTGGAAGAGAATTCCATTCTGTGCTTGAAAATTATCCTAGTTAGGAAGATGTTACTTGAAGTCTCCAGTTTGTCCTACGAAGAGGTGGCCACCTGATATATGACCTTCCCAGTAAGTGTGAGATGTCCCAGGTCACATAAATTGAATGTCTTTGGAGACCTTGGTTGTGTGTGCCATCCTGCAGTGGATGTTTTTTGGTGGCCCTGAATATATCACCTGTCCTCTGCCATAAAGAAAAAGGAGCTGGTTTTCCCTGTGTAAGTACTAAGTACATTGGGACCTCTAGTGGAAAGTACAATTTGAGAGTTGGAAATAATGATAATAGTTGCCATAAGTTTAGGCTGGACTAATAAATACTGAATTTTAACACTGTTAACTTGAAAACTCTAAAACCTATTAATGAGTGGTGTATCTCTTCAGGCACTTCTGTCTGCCCTGGCTGTCAATTATCTGGAGCCTCCCATAGAGCGGTAGACTGTGGTAATATCTTTCAGATGCTCCCAGTATCTGTCTGTCTGTATCTTGGCTGGATCGTGAGTGAAAAGGGGATCATCAAAACCAGAATAAAACAACACAGCAGCCATCCTGTGTGAAGTGATGGAAATTTGTGGGTGGGAGAAGCTGAGTTTCTGCTGTTGCTGTGGTGTTTTGGTTTTGAGTGCAAAGGATACATTGCTGCTTCTCATTGTTATTTGCTAGGTCACAGCAATCTGTGGCTCCAGAAAGCTCTGACGTAAGTGGAATAGAAAAGGAAATATTTTGTCAATTGCTGAAACTGGCCATATGTGGCAATCAAATCTGCAGGAATTAGAAAAATAAGAACATGAAGACTTTGTATATAGCATCAAAGGCAGAGCTGGCTCACAATTTGAAGAGTAGAAGCGTGGCACTTATTGTTTCTTGACTTACTTCCAGTGTAAGTGCTTGAAGCACTTGGGCCTGCAGGTATGTTAGGGGTTTGTTGACATTGGAAGGCAAACTCCATATCTCATGGGTGCAGTGAGCATCCCGTGTGCCACTCCCAAGTGCCTGGAGTTGTGACGAGGATGCAACTGCATCAGTGCTTCAATGGATCATACAGAATCAGGCCTGATATTTGGAGACATCTGGCTATTGCAGGTTGTTAAGTTATGTCCCTTGGTATGGCCTATCCTTACACAGCTACACAGGACTCAATTTGCAGATGCTAAGCAGTCCCCTTATCGCCTTTTTTTGTTTTGTATCAAGATGTCATTCTTTCAAGATTTGATCCACTGTGGCCACATTTCTTCTGAAAGTTATTTCAGTCTGGCTTCTTGTACGGTAAGGGTTGATTTTTTTGCACTGTAGTCATGCTGTTTAGTGATATTTTTTTTTAATTAGATTTTTCTTCCCTTGTTATTTCTCTTTGCTGAAGATGTAGTCGGTAATGGCCTTTCTCTCCCATAATTTTGCTGGAAACTGGCCTAGAGATTTAAGAATTATCAGAGAGCTGCTTAGACAGGTGGACCCAAACGAGGTCTGTCAGATAGGAGAAAGGAAACTGAGTTGTAAGAAATAAAAAAAAAAAAAAAAAAAAAAAAAAAAAAAAATTGAATGAGAAGTTCAAGTTGTCTGATGAAAAACACATGCACAAAACAATACTGATATTATTTGGCAAACTGCTTCTTAAAGGCAGTCAAGACCTTATGCTGGGCTGTGTCTGACAGTGCTGGCTGTAGGCTGATGTCCCCAGTATCTGAGGGCACATGTTAGAAATTCTGGTCCAATGTGCACTTCACCTTCTCTCCTATTAATCCATTCAGACTTATTTATTTTTCAGAAATCTGTTACAAAGTGTTCCTTCTTTGTCCCCTTCCTTAACCTGATGTGATAATAACCCATAGTGATCTTCTGCTCATCTTCCCGTTCATCCAAAATGGCAAATGTGCTCCAAGGAATTATAAATCCTGAATTATTCCTTTCACACCAGGAACAAGGCAAAATTCCCTTGTTCTCTGCTGAATAAATGGGATCTTAGCTTAAGGCATCGCAGAGAAGTTGTCTGTGCTGTTTTGTCTGATGTTTGTGCCTCTGATTTGAGGCACAGTAGCTCTCCCATGTCTCCACTGAAGGATTTTTGTGAGTGTGAGTACATTTTCCAGAGTTCATAGAACCTTGCATTCTGTGATACTTCAGTTTGTACATTGCCAGATAGTCTCCAAAAGTTTGCGTAGATCGCAAACATCTCCCAGAGTTTGTCTGAAATGACCCTGCAAGTAACGTCAGTGGGGAAGGAGCACAAGCATTTGCTTGGTTTATTGCCAGTCATGAGGCTGCTTGAAGTGGTCAAGATATAGCTGACAAGTCTCTCAAACTGTGCTCATCAGCAGTGTCAAGTTGATGGCTGTGACTGAAGATGCTGACCATCTATATTTTCTGAAGTTATAAAAGAGGGGAAAAAATGGATGAGGTGGGGAAAGGGAAAGAAGGGTCACTCACTGTTTTTGATTTTTATTTTTTTTAAAGAATCGTCAATTCTATTTGGGACTAAAGATTTGTATCTATCAAGAGTAACATTACTGCACAGTCAGGTTACTAGCATAATTGTGTACAGTTCCAGTATAATTAGTGAGCTGTAATTAGAAAAGTAATTATTATAATAAGCAGAAGGATAAAATTAGTACAAAGCTGTTTTAGGTATAGGTTCTGTTGACTAATCTGAGCTGGTCACTAAAGCGATTGCTGCCATTTTGTGTTTTAAGTGACTTCTTGTGGGCTGCTCATGTACCTGGGTGACAGAAGCACTGGCGAAGGATGGCAGTGATGTGGTGTAGCTGCAGTTCTCTGGAAGATGTTTGCTGGCAGAGGGTGTTGTCCAGCCTTCTAATTTTAATCAGAGGATGCTCAACTGTGTGAATTATCCTGTGTGAATTAGCAAGAGCAGAGAGCACTTTTGAGGGCTGGTTGTATTGTAGTTCTTGGGATAAAAATTGTCCTGGGGCTTTTATTCCTTGGTGGGGATGTGTCAGTTTTCACCAGCCAGAGATGTGGTGGCCTTTTGAAATGAGGCTGAACATTCATTATCAGAGAGGATAAGCTGCATAAGAGCTATTTAATTACAGGCCTACAATGGTTTCTGCATGCTTTCCCTGGAATTCTTTGTACACTCAGGAAAGTGTGTAAATCAAACAACCAGCACATCAGGCGGTGGGGCTGAGCTGGAGGAATTACTGGATGCCCTCATAAAACTTTAAAGGGCTTGAATGTCAAGTTTAAACTCTTGGGGCCTTAAAACTTGAGTCTCGAGGCACTTCTACCTGCTGTTTCATCACATAAGCTTTTCACTGTTCATGAGCTGCAAACCCAAGATGATTATGACTTCTATTTCCCTGCAGTGTATTTAATTTCCCTTTACTGTTGTCATCATACCCATGTCTGAACTACCTTTCATCTCCTCCTACCACTCATCATCCTTTCAGTTGCAGCCAGTGATGCATAGGCTTTTTAAATAGAGTGTTCCTTGTAGGCTCTTATATCAAAATCTGTTTAACCTCTGGTGCTTTCAAGCTTAAGGCAAAATCGCTGCGTATTAGCAGTTCTAATGCTTAACTGCACTCAACAGGAGAGTTAGCAAATCTGCAGTGATACCGCAGTGCAGTGAAGATGTGTGTTGCCAGCTGCAGGCAGCTGTTGGGCTTTGCGCTGCCTTGCTGAAGCAATGGGTGCCTTCCCATTGAATCTCCCCTTTGATTAGAGTTGGCTGGAGTGAAGCAGCACCGTGGAGCAGTTCTTAGTGTCTCTGCCAGAAACTGGCTCAGGAAAGCTGGGTTGTGTTGCTATTTCTGTTTGGCAGCTGCAGACTCTTCATATTGGTTCCTTCATCACAAACCAAACCCCATGAGAGCAGAAAGTGCATCTGGGGAGGGGATCTTAAATTCAGCTCAGGCACTTGTTGAGTCAAAGGAACAATGAGAAGAACTTGCAGATAATGGTTCAGTTTAGTAATGCCTCATAAACTGTTCCCTTAGTGTAAGATTCTTCAGTTGACACTGAAGTCCAGAGAAAATCCTATCATTTGATGATCATCATGCAAAATAGAGAAAAATTCTATGCTAGACCCATGCAGTACTCATCTCCTAGAGTAGGTAAGCCTCTTAGCTCAGCTTAAAGCTTCTTGCCCATTTCCAACCCACATATTTATTCTATCAGTCCAGATTTTATAACATCCTAGAAATAATTCACTCAGTTTTCTCTCACAGAGTCAGAAACCATTGCTAGGCACTGGATTGCCGAGCATCAAAATGCTTTGCTAATGAGAAGTGGGCAATTGAATCTAAGGAAATAACTCTACTTTATTAACTAGTGCCTAAGACCAAACCCAAAGCCGAATCAAGCCTTACTTCTAGGATGGATATGTGTTTTTGCAGTGTTGTTTTTGATTGCTTTTCGCATCCATCCCTGCTTTGGAGTTTTGGTTTGGACTGAAGCAGCAGTGCTTAGAGGTTATGGAATGGTTGTTTCCGTCCTGTTTCTGGCCCAGTCAGCCGCAGAAATAATTAGAAGTTTTAGTGGAGTCTCTCTAAAATTCATTTTCAGCCATGAACTTTGGGGAAGTCTTTGGATGGTCCAGGACAGGATGTGTTCAGGGGCTTTCGAAGCTGGCTCATAGGGTTGTTGTTTTGGCAATGCATGCCCTAAATTGGAAATATTGGAGATGCGTCGTTTAATTCTATTGCAGCACTGCTGCTAAGGTGCAAGGAGTAAAAGGTTGAATAGAGGTTCCCTTTTAGCCCAACTTTGTAATGAGAAAACAGGAGGTGCTTTGGTTTAGCAAAACCTCATCAATTGTTATGATTTGGTTTTGCAGGCCTCAAGCCTGGGAGGTTGGGGTCTGGCTTCCATTATGTTCTAACCAGAAAGTTCATTGAAAAGAAATATTCTCCTCAAACCGTCTTGAACTTGTCCAAACTTCCATTCAATCCCAGTAAAACCTAAGCTCTCATCCAACGAGGGTCTGTCACTGTTAATGTGTTTCAAAACGCTATGTGGGGTTTGATGGACAAAGGAGCTCTTAAGGGATATTTATCCTACACACACAAAGAAAACACACAAAATGTGAATGTATTGCAGCATTAAGAGATTCTCTTTCATTTGGCCGGAGTGGTTTCTGCTTAGCCACAGAAATCTCATGCATATACTGGCCAGCTCCTATTTTCATTTGTGCTGGAGTGAAATTGAAATCTGTTCTCCATGTATTAAATGAAGGTAAACCATGTGCTAGAACTGTGCTACCAGTGGAGAGCCGTGCTGAATTTTGTCATCTCTCTCTTAACAGTCCTTAGCAAACTGTAGCTTAAAATGGACCAGAACGAGCAAAAGGAATGGGGTGATTACGTGCTGATGTACTGGGCATGAGCAATATTGAGAAATTTAAGCTGAATCCTTATAAATACGCTTACAGTTTATGCACACGACTAAATTAATAGCAGGCATAACTCTTTTAAAGTTACTTGACTTTAATTGACATATCAATATAATTGCCAATTATCTTAATTGATATACATGGCATAAATATTGTGCTCTGGAAAGCTTCCAGTCCTTCTTTATTAGAGTATTAAGCCACAACATATGCAGATTACATGGAAATACCACTGAGGCATTTGTCAAATTCCTTTCTTATGTCTCTTTCTTATATTTTATATATCTGTATGTATATGTGCAGAAAACAGTCGTAAGGACATACTGATTATTGTCAATACAGCCTCTTAAACAATTTCAAATGATTCTACTAAAGGGTTTCTACAAGTTTCACACTCTGCTTTTGTGGAAATCAGCTTTCAAGTCAGTCAGGCTAGAGATTAGATTCAAAGATTTAAAACCTCTATAGATCAAAAGCAGATGCTCTTAGAAGACATTTCAGCCAAGACAAGCTGTCTGGGGACATTGTTACAGCGGGAGAAGACAATTTATCATTAAAACATGAAAGCCTCTGTTCAATAATAACCAGATGTATTTAAAAAAAAAAAAGGAAAGAAAAAGAAAAAAGAGGGAGAGAAAAAAATAGGGGTGTCAAGGTCTTGATTCATTTGTCTCCCACTAGAAATCATCTTTATCCCATGCTTAGAAAACGAGTGCAGATTCTTTGATGCCAAGACATAAAATAAGGAAAAATTGAAACATTTCACGTTGTAAATCCTTGGCAATTGTCAAGGAAATTTTAATTATATGAAAATCTGTGGTGCCTAAGGTAGAGATAAGGAGCAATCAAGTTAAAGAGCAGTTCCTTGACTTAGAATAAAAACGGGGGAGGATCTGATGGAAAGTTTCAGATCTTTCTTGCCTTGTACCAGTTTTCACCTTTTCCCATCAACTGCTCTTTCACTCTGACCTAATGCAACTAGGCAGTAGTACTTAGCTTTAACCTAAAACCTCCCCTCCAAATATTTAGCAACTTTCATTCAAGCCATCCCCATATAGAAGAGGGATACTGCAAGCTGTGGACACTCGGGGAAGCTAAGGCACAGAGAAATGGGATGACTTACCTCTTAACATGTAGTGTTCTGATAAAGAAACAGGAAGTGACTATTTTGTTTTTCCAGCCTCATTTTCTAACCACTAGAGAGCATCCCTTCCCAGTGAAATGTATAGCTCAGCAACACAGGAAATGCTTTTGCTGCCAGTATATGGGAAGTAGGAAGTCGTCTTCACTCTATTCTTGTTTTACAGGCCATAATATATAAGAGTGGGTGTGATTAACAACACTTGTTACAATATATTTAGAATCATTTCCAGGTCTGTGGTTAGATGTTCTCTAGAGAACTTCAGCCTGAAACAAGTACATCTAAGAAGTTAGAGAGAGCGATGTAAATCAGGACATGAGGTCTTTGACATTGCCACCAAGTGGGTCCTACAGCAGTCTGCCTCAACTCCCTGATCCACACACAAAGCGATATGCAAACCTTATGGCTTTCCTCATTGGAGTACAGTGAAACTTGGCAAAAAAAAAAAAAGTGTGGAATGCACATAATTTCGCATAGATGGGAGCAAATTTGTTAAAAAAAAAATGTCTTCATTGATGTTTAATCTTTGAAAATGAAGCTTTGGGGAGAAATATATTGCTTTCAATAAAGTTCTTTGAAAGCTTCTCAGGTTCAAGATGAATTTTGTGATCAGCCAGAATGAGAGACTTTCCCATCCTCTACAAAACACACAACTCCAAGAGCTTTTTAACACCTGCTTTGAGCTATTTGAATAAAAATCTGATTCTTTACATATCTTGGCTTCTCTGTCCATGAATGTAAATAAAAGCTTTGTCCTAGGCTTGAGGAGTCTTCCCAACAAAACTGTTGTTAAAACCAATAAGGGGAGAGATTGCCAGAGATATGAACCTCTATTACCTATTGCACTGACTAACTTACGTATGAGGCTTTCTGTCTGGCTGCTGCTTGAGGTGCCCTTCATAGGGGTTGGGAAGGAAGAACCAGCTGAGCAGATTGGAAAAGGTGATGATTAGCGATCATTGGCAAAAGAAAGTGTTTGACAGGAGAGGGAAGTCAGTGCCTAGACTGTATAAGCAAACTCTGACGATACGGGATGTGGTGGTAGGTGGGTTTCTGCTACCCTCGGAGCACAGAGCACGGGTCAGAGGCCTCTTGTCTGTAGGTGGCTGTGGGTTCTTGTGAGGTCCTGCTGTGAGGGTTCAAAATCTGGAGATTTTGTCAGTGAGAGACCTTTTCTAGGGAAAATACAGAGAGACCGTGCCAAGGTATGGGAAGCAGATCAACATACTTGCCCTCTAAGAACTGGGAGCCTTTAAGTAATTGTTACTTTTTCTTTGAATGATAACAGACACTGTCTCTGATATAGATCCCTTGGCTTTCCAGAATACTCAGCTTAGGTGATAAATCGTTTTAAAATTATTATTCCTTTTCTGTGTGCCAGTCGCCACTCGTTTCAGACAAATCTGTTTAGGGTGCTCAGTGTAGCAACATTGATGTAAAGTGTTGGGAAACATGAGATGAATGGATGCAAGCTTTTGCCTACTCTGTTGATGTCTCTGAAGCCACACGTGGCAGCTCAAAACAGTGAAGACCTACAGATGCAGTGGAGGTGACTGCACTTCAGTGACACATCTTCAAGTTGCAATATGTTGTACCTTGTATCTTCAAGTTGCAATAGTTTCAGCTATTGGCTGAAAATTCAAGGTCTGCTGTTTTGATTTCTGCTATTTCAAGAGGGGTTCATCTCCTTCATTCAGGAGGAAAAACAAACAAACAAACAAAAACAACAAATCCTGTGCATCTATCTCAGATAGCAAATGTTCATGTGGAGAGTGGGCTAAAGCAGTGAACTCAGGGCCAGATTTACAGCACCGCTGTTATCAGAAAGCTGAGCACTGTCTTTCTTCTTCTTACTCACTGCAGAAGATCTGACTTAATTGGATCCAGACTGGATCTATATATGGATTTGGAAACCCCAAAAGTCTGGAATTTCACATCTCGAGTTCTTGTCGTAGGTTTAAAGGCGGAAGAATTGGAGAGAAGGGGCTCTTCAGCAAGGAGGGGATGACAAGATCAAGACTTAGAAAAGGAATGACAAATAGAAGAATTTATCCCTTCCTGGCCAAATGTTGATTCTGCTGTAGCTGTACCACGTGTACAACCCCTCTTGTGCTTCTGTGGCCCTGGCAGTCCCGCTCATGGCAGTGCCCAGAGCAGCCCATGGTGTTCCCAGAGCCCCTTCTTCAGGAGGTGGAGCTCCTCTGGCAGGTGGCTGCTGATGGCGCACTGATGCTGTGGTTGTTGTAGCTGTGCCTAAACAGGAGTTGTTTAGGGCACAACAAGTGCTTCATGTGGCCACATACAGCATTTACTCAGTGTGGGAGATCACACGCGTAAAAGTTTAGTGCAGGAGTGCAGCAACACAGACTCGCACAACCCTCAGGCCTTTTCTGTTAACAATCAGACCCATAAAGCGCATTAAAATAAACTGATTTTTACAGCTCTGCACTGCTGTTCAACCAAGCATTTCAAGAAGCAAACAAAAGCACCCACTCCTCTGGAAATATGAGACTTCGTTCCTATCCAGGAGCACAAACAGTACTCAGGAGGGAGTTATGAAACCCTGTTTAAGTGCAGATTTGTATTCATTTTTACATACCTTTGCTTCACCCTTCTCTTGGAGGTGTTTTTGCCTTTAATAGCTCTATACTTTTGTTGACAAACCATTTCCAAACAGTTTTTCCTCAGGCTTATGAGAACATGTGGCAGAAACAAGTGAGGATTTTTGTCCCATTTTCAAATGTTAATAGATACAAGAGGACGGGACGTTCAAGTGCAGAGGCCCTTCTTGCCAGCAGTTCTGAGGCTGCCTACAGGCTGAATTAAGCATGGCTTTGGCACAGATGCGACTGGGATGGAGAAGCAGATATAGCCTCAGAGGCATCCTCTGAGCTTCAAAACAAAAAATAGTAGTAATTTTTGTCTTTAAAACTGGGTCTTAGAGCATCTGAGAATAAATCTTGATTTTTTTCCGAGATCCAAACACAGAACAAATTAGCATTTCTAATTGATTATAAATGTAGAATTGTTTGTTCTCCTTCTACTTTGACTTGCAGTCCTTTCAAATAACAGCCCAAATCCTTTTGCATCTGTTGAGATCAGTGAGCCACTTACTTTTCCCAAACTTTGCTTGGCTGTAGGAACTTTAAATATTGCAACACTTGACATAAAACAAAGATTTTCCTGATAAGTGTGTGTAATGGTTCAAAACTGTTCCAACAAGCAAATCTGGTTTCTCAAAGGTAAATGATAGGAAAATCTGGCCTTTGATTAAATATTCCAATCATTGCATGTTAATGGTGCGTGAAGCTGTGATTTATCAGCCAAGACAATGTGCTGGAAAATGAACATAATTCATTAAACTTGAACCAAATTTCACTTGAGCTTTCCGTTTTTTTTTTTTTTCTTTTTTTTTTTTTTTTTCCACAATTCTTAGCAGAGAGGGATTGGTGTCATGAAGCAGAGACCTGTTTGTAGAACGTGTTGTTATTTTTCATTCTGCTCTGCTGTTGAGAGAGCTTTTTCACCCAAGCTGTGCTCAGCAGAAAGCAGATGCCTGAGCATCCCTTGGTAGCTCAGTGCTTGCAAGAGAATAAGGGGCAAAGGCAGTTATTTTACTTGGATATATAATGTTTTGGGTGCTGTTGGCTGCCCTCCAGGTGCACTGTAGCTCGAGATGAGAGGGACAGAGCCACTCATTAGAGTGCAGTTTAGGGGCTGGGCTGTCCTCAGCACAATGCTGCTCTTCTAGCACTGAAGGAAGGTGACAGCGAGTTGTTTTAACTCATGCTGTATGCAAGCAGAGAGCTAGGAATTACTGCACATCTTGGCATAGCCCTCCTGGGACTGCTGCTTTTCCTCTGCCCGGAGCCTGCAGGAGGATGCTCTGAATCAGATTCCTTGCCGTGACCTCCTGCCTTTGCCTTGTGAGAGCCTTGCTGTGCACAGTGAGATAATGACTAGTCAGGCCACAACATGTTTATTTTTAGGCGTGCTGATGTGAGCTGGGGACATGGGTTGATCAGAAGTGTTTTTGTGCTCTTTGCTACTTCCAGTGAGGGGTTTGACAGGGCTCGAAAGCAGGGCTGGAACTGGTGTGCCTGCTGCTAACAGCACGTGCTGCTCTGTTTTGGTAACATCCTGGGGCTGGTTATCATCTAATAACAAGGGGTTAGGCCTGTTTATTAAAGAAATATGTCTGTTTTTTTACTATAAAAGCAGCTGGGGGAAGGAGAGGAGATGATGCAGAACTGATTGTTGGTGTAGCTACAGAGGAAGCTTGTGATACCACTGGGGTATTTGTACCATTAGATTCAACTCTTAATATAAATCCGAGTCAGGAAGCAGTGTAGTCTGTTCCCCATAGTCTCAAAACCACCATAATTAAGTTCCTTCTCACCCGCTTTGCACATCCAACCAAACACTGAGGACGTAAACCAGAAGAATTTCCTGCCCTTCACATCACTATTTCTGCATTCACATCTCACATGTGGAAGAAAAAATAACAAAATGATTTTGAAAGTTTAACCAACTCATCAAGCTCATGAAACTTTCAAAGGAGACAAGGGGAGATGGAGGAAGATGCTTTTGGCACAAGAGGTGTATACAGGTGTGTGGAATTCACGTCTCGCTGATGCTCGGCCATAGGGCTGGGGAGCGGTGGCCATGTTGAGGCTGCAGCCTGCACTGCCCCAGGTGGCAGCCAGGCTGTTGTCTCCCCCTAATAATACTAGAAGCCCAGATATGGTGGGAAGTGGGGGCACAGATGACCAGTAGGAACCCATCTCTGTACCCACTAGAGATTATTCTGGCTCCAGTGACTCCAGCCTGTTCTCTGTGATCCACTGGGGGCTAGGAAAACAAATGTGGGGTTAGGACACTACATCTGCTGTGGCTTTTCTGCCTCAGAGACTCGGAGCTGGCACAGAGGGGCCTCTTTGTCTGAGCTGGTTAGTTTGCATCAGGTGTGATGGATAGCTCTGCTTGTAGAAGAAGGCTGTACCTGTGGTTAGCTGGCAGTGTGCACTTAGCTGTTCTGGGAAGCTGGTGTGCCACTGCCGCATCAGTGCAATCAGACAGAGGTGTGACTGGCTTATTTTCTTCTGCTTTGATCTAGCAGAAAGTTTTCTGGAAGAGGAAAGAAGGGAAAATCCCTCTCACTTGTGCTGTGTTGTGTAAGCAGAGGGCTGTGGGCTGTGCTGGCGATGTGCTTCAGATGGGGGCAAGGAGTTGACAACATAGCCGAGTCCTGCCTTAGGAAGGGCCCGAAGGCTGGCCTCTGGGGCCAGGAAACAAAGTGTGGTGCTAATCGGAGGGTGGGATGAGTGAGCTCTTTGTTGCTGCTTGGTTCTGAAGAGTCAAACTGTGTTGTTGATATGCTGGAGGCATGCTGACAAATCGTGGGGCTGCTGAGGTGCTCATGGCTCTGTAGACTTAGGGTGCAGGAAGCTGGTGGTGTGCTGGATAGCCTGCTAAACTCCGTGTTGCTTCTCCTGCTGCGTTCCCTTTACTGCTAGCCTTCACTGGGAATCAAATTAGATGTCCGGATAAGAGCATTAAGATATAGTAAGGTAATACTGCTGGTTTTAGGGACAAGACCTTTATAAATGGACAGAGTGCTGAAGTGAGAGAAATGAGCGTAGGAAAAATAACAATTGAACACCCAGGAGACCTAGGAGTTTTTCCAAGCGCTGGAAGAGCTCTCATTCTCCATAAGACTCCTGGAAATTCCTGCACCATCTTGGCCCACCTTGAGCAGCCCAAGTGCAGCCTCAAGGAAGTGCAAACACTTCTTGTCATCTACTCTTTATTTAAATAATCAGATCTGAATGGGTATCGTTTTCTCTCTGGGTTTGTGTTGTATCTGCCAGTAGGTACAGTACCACAGTGAGCTGCAAACAGAGGGTCAGTCTTCCAGTATACTTATGTGCCTCCCTCCTTTTCAGTTAGATCAGGTCCTGTACACTTTGGAGATCTGAGCTTAAAGCGCTGTGAACCACAGATAAATCGCTGGTTTATCTGGCACACTTCAGACTTTTGGAAAAGAATAAAATAACTTTTGCTTTTAAAATCTGCGTGCCTGTACTGCTGATCTCTCAGATGCGTTTTGATTTATTGGAGGACAGAAATTTTAACCTTCAGCTTCCTTCTCAATATTCATTCATTACTTTTTTTTCCATTGTAGTTTACGTTCCCTGTTGCTAAAACTAACAAAATGTCCACGCTAACAGAATGCCATTTCCCTGCTGGGCCCCAAATTAAACATTCCTAGAAAGGCAGGAGGCAGTTGCTTTATTCTGTGTTGTGAATTAACATGTTTGCATAACTTAATGTTCAGTGCATCAGACAGGAATTCCAGAACAGATCAATCTTTAGCACTGCTCCTGACTTCATGGGCCAAGCATCCTTCTCACTGTATGGCAATGCCACATGGGCTGCTGAAATGGCCTTCTGGTATGAGGCTATCCATCACTGGCTTTGTGTCTGGTTTCTGTGAGGAAACCACAGAGAATGAAAATAAGTCGAGTACCCTAACTGAAAAGCAGACTCAACTCCTCTCAAAGCAGCTGTGAGCGATGGCACTCACCACTGAGAAAAACAGCTCCAACTTATGAAGAAAAGTAGCGAGTTCTTCTACCTTCAGTGGACAGACCTCGAAAAGCCATCTTTACTTCCAGCTGCAGCTCTTTGTGCTGTGAAACCCCTGTTGTGGGATCTGGGAAATGCCACTCCGATGTTGCTGTCTCAGCTCCTGTTATCTCAGCTGCAATGTATGAGCTGCTTCAGAGGAAACCGCCCGTGAGCATATTATTTCCTGTCCTGTGCTCTGAAGCATTTTCTCCTTTAACAAAACATGGCAGGATTCTTCTTAAATGTATTTCTTTTCCCCTGCTCTATTTTCTTTGCCAAATTGAGGCTTGATCCACATTCAGTCAGATAAATGGAAAATACTCCCCTGGACTTCCAAAAGGGCAAAGGTCTGAAGGATGGTTTGTATTTGAAAGAA